GGAGGTAGAGAAGAGACAAAAGGAGTAGAAGTTTCAACTGAAGAAGCTTCAGAGATCAAAGCTAAGGGAGAGCTTTTTATTTCCCTGGAATCTTTTACAAGATTTCTTTTCAGTTGATGAGATTGCTCATAGTTAAGCAGGATCCCGTATAAGGTAGAAAGAGAAAGAGTGGACATGTCATTTGACATCTTGAGACACATGGAAAAGGTGTCCCAAGACTCAGGAAGGCATTCTAGAAACTTAGTCAAGGTTTCAAAATTAGAATATTCCCTGTCGACAGCCCTTAGATCAATAAGAAGACAATTAAATCTTTGATGTACTTTAGACAGTGTCTCGGACTTTCCACAGAGAAAGTTTTCATACCGTCTTACTAAATTGATCTTTCTAGTCTCCTGAACCTGAGTGGTTCCTTCATATTGGACACAAAGAGTATCCCATATGGATTTAGAAGTTTTGAGTTTCATCACTGAGTGATAGATCTCATCAGGAAGAGACATAGCTATTATAGACCGAGCACGCGTGTCTATAGCTATTTTCTTCTTGTCCTCATCGCTCCACTGATGTGGAAGCTGTGGAATCTGCCGTTCAGGAATCGCGGTAGTCGTAGCTGTTGCTGGAAAGTCGGAACAATAGCAAATGGAATATATGGTCCATTTTCTATGTAATGTGGAATTTCAGGATCCACACCTTCCAGAAAGAGGGATATCCGGTTCTTCTAGAGACTAAAGTTATCACGGACAAACCGGGAAGGTTTGGCAAGAGAGCCATTATCTTTTGTGTGTGTGTTTGTAATTTGTAAAATCATTTGTAAGCAGTAAGTTATCTAAGAAGAGATAAATTAATATAGAAAATTAGCCAAACACTAGGAAAGAAAGAAAACACTGCTCTGATACCACTTGTTGGTCCCGTAAGGGTCTACAAGAATAGAAACAGTTTGTAGAAGGGGGGGATGAATACAAACACAATATTTTCAAATTTAAAATATATATTAATAGAGAAGATCAATACAAATTTTACAAGACTGTTTGCGGAAAGATAAGGTAATGAAAACCTATCTAAACAATCTTTGGTTACACACAGAGTTTTAGCAAATACAAGAAAAGAGATTGCTAAAAAGAAAGATCCTTTACTTAAGCTAGAAGATGTTTGAAGTAAGAATAAGGTTAGAGAGAGATACACGCTCTCTGCATGGAGAAGAAACACTTCTATTTATACCCAGTGCATTAAATGATCATTTAATGCAATATGGTAGGTTTAGAGTGCGTGTCAAACCTTAAGAGGAAGGCTTGTCCTTTGCTACAGTGAATAGTACAAAAGCACTATTTATGAACAGACATCCTTACCTAAAGATGATGGATAAAGAGTCGACTAATCGGCTCCGTACCGTACTAACTTTTGTAAGGGTATGAGTTTGTCCTTTGTGTGCATAAGGACAAAATAACAACAATCGTGCTAAGCAAGCTTCCTTTGATCGCTGAATGCTGGAATGACCTGGAGGTCTCATCACCATTCGCTGAAGCTAGAGCAGTCTTCACACATGTATAGACAGATTTGTTATCACTGAATACCGCTTCAGATCACGTACTCGCCGATCTCTAATCTTCAGTTTCAGTCTTCGACGTTTGCTGAAGGTTCTTTGGTGTGAGTGTTGTCTTCTTGAAGTATTGCTGTCTCTGATAGATTTACAATGCAAGTTCTTCAGCGATCACTGAACATACTAAGTGAAGATCGCTGGAACTGAAAATACAGAAACACAAATACAACGTGAAAGATAAAAGGGATTATCATCAAATCACTGAGAGAGAGGATCAACAAGATCTAAATTTCTGACATTGCATCACAACTCATTCTTTATGCAAACGTGTAAGTAGATGTAGTGAGAAGCAAAACAAAGATAAAAAAAATCTAAAAGAACACAATATCAAACAAAAAAAAATATAAATGTAAAAGATATCCTTCATCCTTATTATCGTACATGCATTGAGAAGCAAAACATAAAATCTAAATCTAAAAAGAGAATGCAAAAGAATTGGGTGTTTTGCTATAAAACAAAAGAATTGCAACCCACTCTATTTCAAATTAATTGCGCCTATTAGTCCAAAATGGAAGCAATAACAAGGCTTTATGTGGGGTGTTTTGCCTGGAAGCTTAACAGGATAAACAAACAGGGAGCTAAATAAATGAAGTTTCAAACAAACATTAATGAAAGAACTGATCCTTGGATCTCACATTATTTAAGTTAAATTCGCAGACAGATACAACTGAACTTTTGAACAAAACCCTAATCACAATTAAACAAGCCCGTGAGTATTCATAGATACAAACAAAAAAGATTGATTGTTGATGATTGAGAGAGAGTTGAAGAAAACATTGACCGTATGAGAGGATGATTGTAATCTAACCAGAAAGATGAAGATGAAAGTCAGAATTGGAACATTTAAAGAGGGGAAGATTAGAACTCACAATAGGAGGATTCGAACCCTAAAACATAGCATTCTGAAAAGTGGAAGGAAGATGCAATACCATGATAAATAAAAACTAACCGTATGGAGATGGAGTCAACAGATGATCGATGGATCAAATGAAGCATTGAGAAGAACCCTAACCATATTCAGAAATCAATTGTGAATCGTACCGAGAGCCTGAATCGAACATCTTGGGAAATCAATTGTGAATCGTCGCTTTGAAGAGGGAAGCGATGGGATGGTGTATGAATCGTTACTTCGGGAAGAGAGTGACTGATATGGCTTGTGAATCGTCACTTTGGGAGGAGAGCGTGTCTGGTAGTTTTGGAAACCTAAATTATGATTGTACATTGACCATAAGTAGTTGTGCATGAGAAAGCAATAACTTTGTGCATAAATTAGTTGTACAATGTGTTTGTGATATTGTATTTAAGACTTTAAGACTTTATGCATTAAAAAATAGTACCTTATGCATTTAAAGTTGTTTTTAAGACTTTTTACAAATCTGCTTTATAAGATAATATAGATATGTGTGTATGTCTAGAGTATTGTATAGCTAATAAACCGAAAAAGGAAAAAAAAACAAGAAGATTAGATTGACTAATATATCCTTAAGGTAACTTTCTTTTTTTTAACTTGAGTTAAAATTGTAATGATTAAAATTGCAATTAGTTTGAAAAAAAGAATAAAATTAACAATATGTAACAACTACATGGATCAAAAATATAATTTATTTTTATGTAAATAATCCCTTCGGCACTATCCTGCATACACAACCCTGCTTTTGTAAAAACCCAAAAGTCCAAATCTACCCCACATAATCGCAATGTTGCATCTCCATCAAAGTGGTACTCGTTTTTGCAACCCAAAATTCCCACCATTTGAAAGCTGAAGTAATTTGGTCATGTTTGTTTTACAAAGTCTATAATTACCAACCTTTTGGTGTCCGATCAGAAAATCGGGAGAACCTTACAACCAGATCTTTGGACTCTATAGTGGCTACGTATCAGAAATGCAAAGCTCATCAGACTTGGAAAACCCCAAACAATGCGAGTTCAAAATCGGCCAGCGAGTCCATTGGGCTGGAGACTGCAGGCGAATCGGCACCGTGAAGTACGTCGGAGAAGTGGAAGGCTATTCTGGCAACTGGGTCGGCGTTGAATGGGACAATCGTGATGGAAAACATGATGGATCAGTCAATGGTGTTCGCTATTTCAATGCTCAGTTTCCCAAGTCAGCTTCCTTCGCTCGCTCACACAATTTGAGCACCGGCGTTTCGCTGTTGCAGGCCCTAGATATACGATATCGAACCAGTTCTACTAAAGAAGAAGAAGGTACACATGCAATTCCGAACTCGTAGTTTTTGTTTTTGTTTAAGTTAATAGGGCGGCGTGGCAGCATTTGTTTTTTTAATTGATATAATGCCTGATTTTGTTCTTCATGTTTACAGATGAAATGTATGTTCTTTCTGCTAGCAACAAACGAGTAAATGTTCAGCTGTTGGGTAAAGATAAGATTGAAGACAAACTGGGTCGATTCGAGGAGTTGCCGGGTGCATCATTGTTTTATTTAGGGGTTAGTTCTTCTGGGGACCCTTTTCAAATTAGCAAGACTCTACCAAGTAAGTTTCAGCTCCTTCTCTCTTTATATTTTCTTATGGATATGTTATCAATTTAAATTGTTTAGACTGCACCTGTTACTTTGGATAAATTTTTTGTTAAATTGGAAAGTGGCCATGAGGTATTTTTGTGGGACGACTTTTTATACGATTTTTATAGTCATCTCAATATACTTATTCCCATATAGTACAAAAACGTGACTTGGGAAGCATAAGGGACAAGAGATGTAGGATCTAGTGGTCATAGTGTTTGGATGCTTATGATAATTTGTGGAAGCTGCTGATTACTTATAAAGTTAAGCTGATGGTTAATCTATTTAAATTTGTTAATGTGAAAAGCTCATACGAGTTACTCAGGTCACTAATTTAAAACTTTTGATAGTATTTTTGTTCATTGAAGGGTTGTCCTGTCCAGTAGACGGACCCTAAGAGGAATTTATTAAGGGCATTTGCTATGAAATACTGTACAACATCATGCAACAAGGGACATGCTTTTGCACTTTATATCTACAGTTTCTACATTAAACGGTATTTAGAAATGCAAGAGGCAAAGCGTAAGCTGAGCAGTACAAGCTCTATAATCAAACTTTAAGGTGCTAATGTTTATGTATGTTTATCTTCTTGCCCTCTTTAACTTTTCCTTTCTTTATGATTGACCTCATTCGTATTCTTGTACTCTGTAATGCTATAGATAACCACTACGTCTTCCTTTGCTATTGTTGATCTATAACATGATTACTTAGGTCTCAATGACCTGAAGATGTATGTTGGAAATTTAATTAATTGTGAATTTGTGATCATCGAATTTTATTATGTTGGATTTATCAATAACAAATATCAACATATAGTTATACCTAGTTTTGTGCCATTACAACTTTGTCTGTTATTGCAGATCTAAAGGAGCTTGATTTAACTGGAAATCTGCTTTCCGAGTGGCAGGTATGTTTCTTCTGCTTACAGGTCTTGCATTCTTATAGTTGTTAGGGTGAAAGCTACTTTTGACATTAGCCTATGTTATTATGCTAGAGGCACATTGAAGTTATTACTATTATTATTGGCATATTTTACTTGTGTTGCTTCACTGATTCAACATGATACATGAGCGGAAAGCCTTGTTAGACATCCACCTCAGAGGATGTTTACACTCAAATTCCTGAACATAGACGCTAGACTCAAACTCTATAGCACGTCTTAATATGTTGTGGCACCTTTACTTTCAGGTACAATGTAAATAAAAAAAGAAGCTATGGTTAGTATTATATAATGATCTTTATAACAGATTTTTGTATGCTTGCATGTTGTTTATGAAAGTATTTAAGCTTGAAGCCAAGTAAAATTGACTATGTTTGTACTTGCCTTGTATTGCAGGATGTTGCTGCCATCTGCAGCGGGTTACCAGCCCTTACAGCCCTTAATTTGTCAAGCAATACAATGTCACATTCTGTAGTTGGAATCTCTCACCTGACGAATCTTCGGATTTTAGTTCTAAATAATACTGCCATAAATTGGTCTCAGGCGAGCAATGTTTTCCTTACTTCTGTTTGTCTTGACTATGACTTCTTAATATGGTTTATGCCATTAGAGCTTACTTGATTTGCAGATTGAAGAGCTTAAAGATTCACTGCGAGCCATCGAAGAGCTGCATGTAATGGGAAATAAGTTGAGGGAGATAACGGTCTGTAATTTCCTTACCTTTACCATGTTCTGGCCTTGATGATGTTGTAGATCAGGATGATCCCGTTGATGTTTTAATTATACTGTAATATCTTTGAATACCGTCGTGTTATACCCCTAATTTTAGCCGTACAAATAGGTGTGAGTAGTTTTGGGTCATTCTAGAAGGTTCCAGAGTTAGTGGGGGAAGGGTTAGTTTGGGCGGGATATTCTGTTTAGGTATTGTGAAGGAGTATAAATAAGAAAAGGGAAGGCCTAGAGGGGATATCTGATTTATAAACATTAAATTTGGCGTGAGCCTAGGTAGACCTAAGCTTCTCGAATTGCAGGAAACCATTAATCATACCAATTTCATTATGTTTTCATCTCAGTGTGTATCAATTGGTATCAGAGCAATGACTATCGGGAAGGAAACGAGATGAAGGTTGAAGGCTTGAAGATACAGGAAGATTTCAAATCCTTGAAGATGACTATGGGGACTATGAAGAAGCAATTGGAGAGGTTGATTAAACTCCAAGAGAAGTGGAGGAGATTATTTATTCCAATGCAACTGGAGAGAAGATGCATCCACTGGGACAAGAATTGGAGGTAAATTGTTTTTCCACTATTAAGGAGAGGAAATTGGAAATACCAATTTTCTATGGAACTGACCCAAAGGGGTGGATCCTTATAGCATAAAGGTATTTTATGTCAAATCGGCTTAAGGAGAGGAGCAAATTGAAGCGGCCATTGGTGCCTTTGAAGGAGTTGCCTTGCGATGGGTTCAATGAGAGCATTAGAGGAGACCTGTTAGACGTTGGGAGGATCTGAAGTCGATGATCCTTCGTTAATACTGTTCAATAACCGGGTGTTCATCTCGTGAACGGTTTCTAACCCTAAAACAAGGTGTGAACATGGAGAGGGACAATATGGAGAAAAGTTTGCAAGAAGATAAAGAATAAATACAGAGAGGAGGAAGGAGGGAGAAAATATAAAAAAAGAGAGATCGAGATAGGGGAAGGGTGAGGTTTGTTAATGGCCATTTCCGGCTGTTGCCATCGCCGCTTCCACCCTCTTCGCCACCACCGTTGTAGTCTCTACCATCTTTACTAGCCTCGCCGCTGTCACTGCCATCTTCCCCAACACGAAAGCCGTGGTCGAGAATACTGCCTCCCTCGCACGTAATTCATCGTCGAACATAACTAGGGCCACAAAGAAATCAGTCGTTGGAATCCTGATCTAGTTGAAGAATAGAAAAACTGATATAGCAACAAAGCCTAACCCATTTGTTTCGTTATGGCCCGTCTTGTCAGATTATTTTAATATGGCCGGGTACCATCACTTTATTTCAATTCAGCCCAAGCCATTGGCAAGCGTATTATGCACTATCATCTTCTCACACTCTGACTCGTGGATGGCCAATGAGATAAATTGGGTGGGCGGCAATCTTCGGAAACTACCGCCACTGCTTATACCACCTTGGCTGCCACAATAACCACCATGAGTAATGACTCAATTGAAGCCTAAGGCAGAAGATATGGCTTCTCTGATCAATTTGCTTATGTTCACTTCTCACATGGCAAAATCGGAAGTAGAGGAAATCAAAACTCATGTTCTTGGATCACATGTTACAATTGAAATGAGAAGTGACTCAAGGAAAGAAGTAGAAAAAGGGTGCAATATGTCACTCCCGGTGCTTGTTTGTTGATTCACTACCATGTTTGACACTAACTTCTGCAAGGTCAAGATCACGAGGGAAATTGAGTCTGATGTGATAAATCAACCCTTAATGACAACCTTGTTCATGACTATAAGTGTGACTCATTTTTTTGTCTTCTACTTATGCTATCTTCAGTTTTGGAAACAAGAAGATAAAAATAAGCCCATTGTTCTTATATGCTGCTGTTGATTTACGACCTAGGCTTATTATTTGGTTTGAAATTAGGTACTACACAACCGAGAATTGCACTAGTAATACGTACAACTGTCAACAAGATGTTGATTCTACCTGAATCGGAGCCGCTACAAACATTATTTTTGGTCTTGTTTGGGGAAATAAACCTTGTATCATTCCAATATTCTCGATTTCAATCAACATTGTTGTGAGTTTAAGTCCTGTTACCATGTATGACATTGATGAAGTTGTGATTGGGATGCTGAGCACCATAGCCACTGGTTTAACTTGCGATACATGTGGCCCCATTAGTGATAAAGCAGGAGGAAAGACTGAAATGGTTGGGATGAGTCACAAAAGTTGCAAGAGAACCAACACCCTTGATGCTGCTGGAAACACCCCAACTGTTATTCGAAAGGTCGTTATGGTCGGGTATGCAACTCTGAGTCATTCTGGGAGGATTGCTTAGTTTGATGGATAATTTGGGTGTTCCATTTGAAGATTGGGCGGTAGGTGGGATATAACTCACATCTTTAATAGATGTGGAGAGGAGACGTGGCAAGTTTAAGTTTGGGATTCAGAGAGCAACAGTGGAACTACAAGATGCTCCTTTCATAGACTTCTTCCTGCGTGCTAGATTGTTTTCTGTTACATCAATCGGTAACATGGGAACCACCGCCTCCATCGTTACCATCACCACCATCAGTAGCAATTGATATGAAGAGTCATTTCTTTGATATCTTCCCACCTTGGCGACATGGTGGAAGTTTAGGGGGCGGGTATTGTTATATCCCTAATATTAGCCGTACAAATAGGTGTGAGTAGTTTTGGGTCATTCTAGAAGGTTCTAGAGTTAGTGGGGCGGAGAGATTTTGTTTAGGTGTTGTGAAGGAGTATAAATAAGAAAAGGGTAGGCCTAGAGGGGATATATGATTTGTAAACACTAAATTGGTGTGACCATAGGGAGACCCCAACTTCTTCAATTGCTAGAAACCATTAATCATACCAATTTCATTATGTTTTCATCTTAGTGTGTATCACGTCGTCATGCCTGTGAGATACCTTTTCTCCCACTCTAACCATATGTTTTGATGATCCTTTTTGGCATTCCGAGTGTTCATTATGATATCTTAGTAGTTAGTACGTTCCATGACATTGGTTATAGGAGTATTTAAAGGATTTTAAAGAAGCTAACAATACTAGAAGCAAACAAAATCTTTTGATTTTCATAGGATTTGACAATGGGAATCTTGACTTCTAATATGAAAATTAATGAAAATCTGAGCTCTTTATACCTCCTCTATATATATTTATGTAGGTGTAGGTGTAGGTGTGTGTGTGTATTCAATTTCTGGGTTTGGTAAAGAGTCCAACTTGCATGCATAGAAGTTTCAAAGTTGTACTTTCCACATTTAATTTGGTAGATTAGGTAAATTACTTACTATTTGGTCTTGTTAAAGACTTAAAATAAATACAGAAAAGTCGCCTAAAGTTTGACTTATGCTTTGTGGGGAAATTGGCGATGGCTGGTGAGAAATTCTCTTTTTCACTTTATCATAAGCAAATGGCCAAAGAGCTTATGAAAGAACTCTGTCTTGTCTTATTCTTAAAAACAGCCAAGGAGAGAATAAACGGACTCCTTGAGGGTTGCTTGACCCTCAACCGTCATTAGTGCTCCTTCTAAGTTGGTAGATCTCGTATCCTCTATTGTACATCTCATAATATACAAAAGAAACTTAGTATATCCCACCAGAGCTAGCTAGGGTCTGGGAGGGGTAAAATGTATGCAAATCTTACCTTGTCTCAAGAGATAGAGGATGCTTCTGAGAAGACCCTTGGCTTGCATACGTTAGCAACTGGGATTGTTTCAAACATACTTCCATTTCCAATGATCTGGTTTAATGAGGAAGTATTGGACGTTAATTCTGACTTGGTCGTGGTTGACCAAGTTTAGTGGAGAATAAGGTGAGAATGGTTATCACGCATTTAGGAGAATGTGGGCCTGAATGTTGCTGTTACCGTTTACATGTTTAGCATATCAGGTTTTTATGCAGTCTATTTATAAAGTTGAAGTTTTCTTTTTTTAAGTCTTGTAATCATACTATTTTGAAGTAAAATTAGCAGAGAAGTATTCCCCACTTAAATGTGTTATTTATCACCTTCTTTACATGATTTTTCGTGCGTGTTTTTCGATCCATCACCATCTGATTTCCAACGCTTGGTATCAGAGCCTGGTTCATGCCCAAGTATCTTAGACTTAAAGACATGTCGATCGTAACGCAACATGGAAAGGAAAGTAGTACTCTTCCGCTTCAGTGTCCAGAATGCGAGAGTACACACTCTCAAAAGAGACTTAAAAGCTCTCTGAATGAAAGACGGGGAGTCGATAGATGAGTTCGCGGGAAAATTGAGCGATATGATGCTCGAAGTACAACAATCTTGGTGCTACTCTCGAAGACGGTATACTGGTAAGAAAATTGCTTGAATCTGTCCTGGGTGAATATCTTTAATTGATCGGTAGGCTCAAGGCCTACAAGGACCATGTCGTTTGAAGAAGTAATCTGTAGGCTCAAGGCCTACAAGGATCAATTGAGGCTTCGCAGTGGGAATACAGGTGGTGAAACAAGTTTGTTGCTCACCCGGACGGAAGGTCAATCCAATCAAAGGTTTTCAGGGGGAAGTTCTTCAATGGGTGGTAGAGGACATGGTTCATCACACCAGGAGAGGGGAGGCTGTTGTGGTGGTCGAGGCAGAGGGAGTACACGAGGCAGAGGTGGTCGTGGCAGTTTTACAGTGTCGCGAGACTCGAATGGCAACCATCAAAGAGCAAGGGACAAGAAGCACATAAAGTGTTTCAACTGTGATAGATGCGTCTGAGTGCAAGTCGACCAAAGAGACTGGTGATGAGGCGAATCTGACTCAAATGCAAGAGCTTTTGAGTGTACACGGCGAGAAAGCGACAACCATGGTGTTGCTAAATGAAGAAAAAGTATTTTCGGGGCAGAACGAAGGGAAGGATGATAATGGCAAAGACATTTGGTGTTTAAATAATGGTGCTAGCAATCAAATGACTTGTGTGAAAGGATTCTTCGCCGAGCTTGATGAACAAGTGATTGGGCAGGTGCGATTTGGTGATGGTTCTAAGGTGAAAAGCGCAGGATAAGGGTTCATCTTATTGGAGTGTAAGAATGGTGAACAACAACTCATACCCGACATATATTTCATCCCTACCTTGCATAGCAATATTTTGAGTTTGGGCCAGATGACAGAAGATGGGTACAAAGTCGAGATGTTGCATGAGTACTCGAGGGTACATGACGAAAGAGGTAGACTGATCATGAAGGTACAACGATTTAGGAATCGATTGTACAAAAAAATCATTCTCGATACTACTCGACCGATATGTCTAGCTACGAGTCTCGATGATGAAGCTTGGTTGTGGCATGTGAGATTGGGTCACGTAAACTTCCAGGTCATGGAAACCATGGTACAAAGTGGACTGGTGCATGGAGTTCCGAGTATAAAGCACCCTACACAAGTCTGCGAAGGGTGTTTGGTCGCGAAACAGACTCGACAACCGTTCCCCGAAAGAAACACAGTGGCATGCAAGCAGCCCACTTGAATTAGTTTATGTTGGTCTGTGTGGTCCAATATCACCACAAACCATAGCAGGTAATCGATATTTCTTGTTGATTGTTGATGATTATAGTCGATATATGTGGGTTTACATTATCAAAACGAAGGATGAAGGCTTTGCGGCCTTCAAGAAGTTTAAGGCCCAAGTTAAGAAGGAGAGTAGTTTCAAGCTGAAAGCATCACAGACAGATCAAGGGGGTGGGGGAATTCACCTCCCAACACTATGCTGATTTTTGCAACAAGGAAGGAATCAAGAGACAATTAATGATACCACACTCCCCTCAACAAAATGGTGTGGTTGAATGCCGTAATCGAACCATTCTTGAAGCTACGAGATTGTTACTGAAAATCATATATGTGTGAGAGAACTTCTGGGGAGAAGCAGTTCATCACGCTGCGTATTTTCTCAATCGAATTCCAACGAGGGGTGTAAAGAATATGACTCTGTATGAAGGTTGGAAGGGAAGGAAACCAACACTCAAACATATAAAAGTATTCGGGTGTTTTGCACATGCAAAGAGACCAGTGAACCAACTCATGGAGCTAAGTGATCGCAACATACCTATGGTGTATCTGGGAGTTGAACCTGGCAGTAAGACTCATCGTCTATTCAACCCTAAACAAAACAAAGTGGTAGTGGCCCGTGATGTTGTGTTCGAGGAAAAGAACAAATGGGAATGGGCTTTGGCCCAAGGCAGTGAGCCCACATGGAAACCAGAGTGGATCAAAGTTTTAATGGATCAACGACAAAAGTAGAGACACGAGATCCAATCACTATTGGATAGGGAGGTGGGAGTCTTAGTCATCACTTCGACGCAAATGACCCACCATCACCATTGGTTACCTCACCAGCGACAACAAGCGGCTCAGGTAATTCATCGAACTCGACTCCTCTCACAATGGGTGCATCCGTTGCAACCTCTGGGCATAGTCAAGAAGTAATTCCTTCAGCTTATGATCACACACCTGTTCGTGGTTCTAGATCACTGGCTGATATTTATGCTAGGATACAACCAGTAGAAGATGAACAAGACGAGTTAATGTTCGGTGGTGATGAATCTACAACATACTCGGAGGCAACATGCTATCGGGATTGGAGGAAGCAATGAAGAAAGAACTTGAATCAATCGAGAAGAATCATACATGGAGTTTGAGTAATTTACCTCGTGGACACAAACTCATTGGATTGAAATGAGTATTCAAATTAAAAAAGGATGCACATGGTAATGTAATGAAACACAAAGCCCGTTTGGTCGTGAAGGGATACATGCAGCGAAAGGGGGTTGATTTCGATGAGGTTTTTGCACCGGTGGCACGTTTGGAGACTATTCAAATGCTGTTGGCCCTTGCAGCAAAGGAAGGTGGAAGGTCCACCACCTTGATGTGAAGTCGGCCTTCTTAAACGGCGACTTACAAGAAGAGGTGTATGTTTCTCAACATGATGGCTTTGTTATTTCAGGCAAAGAGCACGTGGTTTACCGATTGAACAAGGCTCTTCATGGGTTGAGGCAGGCTCCAAGGGCATGGAATGTTCGCCTTAACAAAATGCTTAAAGACTTGAGCTTTCAAAGATGTCCTCAAGGACAGGCAGTCTACAAATTTCAAAGATCAAAGACGGTGCTGATAGTTGATGTGTACGTCGATGACGTGATTGTGACATGTACAACTGAGGAGCAGGTAGTTGTTTTAAGAAACAGATGCAAAAGGTATTTGATATGAGTGACTTGGGGAAGCTATCCTACTACCTTGGGATAGAAGTGCAACAAAATAGAAATGGCATCGCAATTGGGCCAGCTGGGTATGCGAAAAAAACTATTGCAATCAGCTTGTATGGCAGATTGTATTCCTTCGAAATGGCCAATGGAACCGAAGCTCAGCTTAACAAAAGATGAAAATGGTGTGCCAATGAATGCCACGAAGTACCGGCGCCTTATTGGAAGGCTACGATACCTGATCCACACAAGATCAGCCCTTGGCTACTCGGTTGGAGTAGTCAGCAGGTGCATGGAATCGTCGAGTGAGAGTCATCTCAAAGCGGTAAAGCAGATTTTGAGATATATCAAAGGGACAGTCGATCACAGTTTGGTAATATCAAAAAGGAGGCGATGGGAAATTGGTTGGGTATAGCGACAGCAGTCACCGTATGTATCTGAACAATAGCAAAGACACAACCGGAACGGTGTTTTACTTTTCATGCAACCCAATTACGTGGTCTTCCCAAAAGCAACGCACGGTGGCATTATCCTCTTGTGAAGCTGAATTCATGGCAGCTACCTCAGCGGTGTGCCAAGCATTGTGGTTAAGAAGTTTGCTGAAAGATAAGATCTAATGGTTTGGGAAGCTAGAAGTGTCAAGTTGTATGTGACAACAAGTTGGCCATAGCCCTCATGAAAAACACGAGGTTTCACTTCATATATGAGTGTGTTGAAAAGGAGCTGATTAGTGCGGAGCATGTAAGTAGGGAAGAACAACGAGCCGATATTCTGACCAAAGCATTGCCACGAGTCAAGTTCACTGAGATGCGGGATCTTTTGGGAGTGAAGGATCTTGACAGAATTAAAGGGAGAGTATTGGACGTTAATTCTGACTTGGTCGTTGACTGACCAAGTTTAGTGGAGAATAAGGTGAGAATGGTTACCACCCATTAGGAGAACGTGGGTCCGCATGTTGCTGTTAACTGTTTACATGTTTAGCATATTAGGTTTTTAGGCAGTCTATTTATGGGGTTGAAGTTTTCTTTTTTTAAATCTTGTAATCGTACTATTTTGAAGTAAAATTAGCAGAGAAGTATTCCCCACTTGAGGTGTTATTTGTCACCTACTTTACATCGATTTTCCGTGCGTGTTTTGTGATCCAACACAATCTGATTTCCAGTAGGAAGAACCTATTGTTTTGATCAACATCGATGTATATTTGGAAGCAGCATAGATTCAAAATTTAATTGAATAGTTGTATCCAGGAATTTCATTTTTTTTCCTTTTGTTTAGAAGCCACTTGTATCACTATATGTTGCTTGTTAGTTTATCATGTTCATCTTCTTTTACACAGACTACATCATCCAATATTGTACAAGGATTTGACTCTCTTCGACTTCTTAACTTGGAAGATAACTATATAGCTGATTGGGGTGAAATCTTGAAACTTTCACAACTGAAATGGTATCATAAAGCAAAATCTTCTTTTGCTTCTTAGATTAAACTTTGCTAGGCTTGTATGCTGACGTTAATCCTCGAAATTGTGGTTTCTGCTTTCAGTTTGGAGCAACTTCATTTGAATAAAAATAGCATAGAACACATTTGGTACCCTGCTGCAGATGAACTGCCATATAGCTCTGCTTCACCTGACAAGAGCTATAAGCCTTTCCAAAAATTGCGCTGCCTACTTATAGGTAATAACATTTTCTGCTATCATGTGTAGCTTGCATGGAGTTGCTTTAACAATTTTGACTTACTGAATATTTACACCATTCAGGAGCTAATAAAATCGAGGATGTAGCTTCCATTGATGCGCTAAACTCTTATCCTGGCTTAGTGGTAAGGTTCTTTTATTTGATATGCTTTACCTGCCATTTATCTTCTTCTCTACCCAAAAAACTGAAACTAAGTATATAACTTAACAATAGATCATAGCATGGCTTAGCTTTAAGAAAATAATTTCAATATCATGTGTAACATGTGCCTTAAGAAGATATTTTACAAGAATGGCTAGCAAAGAGCTACAAAATTGTTTTGTCTACTTGCTAAAACATATTTCTTTTGTCGTATCATTAATTGCATGCTTCTGGTATTTTTAAAGTTCAGTTGATTCTGTTAATTTCTGTCGAACATTAGTTGCAGAAAGCGGTCGAATTGACAACATATCTAAAATTTGTGGCCAGGTATAAGTTGGAAATTCCTCCCCAGTTTGAATGATATCAACCCAATGTTGTTGGTATATTTATAGAAAGACAAGTCTTTATGTTCTGTATCGAAAACTGGGGAAAAACTTATTTCCTAGAGTGAATTACGCTCTGTTCCCGGTGGTTTGCTCAAAATTTGGATTTGGTCACTCAAATGGACTAATCTCCATCAAAGGTCCCTCGAGTTAACACCATTATCGGAGTTTCATCAACCCAACATACCTGCCACTTGGTAAAATGCAGATTTTTAAAGCTTCTAATGATGTGGTGTGATCTAAAACCTGAGTTGGCATTTGGTTAATTAAATATGATGCTGTGAGAATAGCTTCAGACCAAAAACATTTAGGAACATGCGTAGCATAGAGTAAAGCCCTCACACGTCCAAAAGATGCCTGTTTTTTCTTTCAACAATGCCGTTTTGTTGGGGTGTGTTTACACACAAGCTATGGTGTATGATTCCTTGCTTAGAAAGAAATCTATCAAGAATAAAGTTAAATATTCACACCCGTCATTAATTCATAAAATTTGTAATTTTCATTTAAATTGAATACAAGTGTTAATCATAGCATGAAGAGTTTAAAATTCTCAACAGCCTCTGACTTTCCTTCAAATGATATATCCTAATGTGGTCAGCAATGAAGGTGATCAACCATCGACTACCTGAGACACTCTTAATTCTGGATGGAGCCCAAATATCACTGTGTATGAGAGAAAAATGTTATGATTGCATGCATCATAGGGAAGGATATACAGATCTATGATACTCGCATGTTTCTCATTGTAAATGGTTCACATCTTTATTATGAAAATCAAAGGAAACAAATGTTGTAGATGATTAAAACTGGGATAGCCAAGTCCACGGTGCATAACATTATTTCGTCTTCTGAACACAAAAAAGAGGAATAGCTTGACTTTTGAACTTGTTTTTTCTTACAGTCTGCCATCGTCAAAGTGATAAGATTCCTCGATCATGGATCCTGACAAATACATCTGGTGGATATAGGAACTTAATTAGACAATATCAGTTTTGAATGAGGCTACTGACGTAGATTAGGTTGTGGGATAGGTTAGGAACGTGTAGGAAATTCTTTATGGTAATAGATGGAGACATAAAAATAGAACCGTTACTTGCAACAGAAGATGAACAACCATCTTATATTTTGACCTTTTGATTTCCTGTACTGGGAAGATAAAAGTATAGGAATCGACAGTCATGTGATTGGTGGCAATGATTTAGTGCTCTGAATTTTCTAGACTAACACCAAAGTCAGCATGTATGGTACCTTCTTGTGCAAAAGAAGAGAATGGGGTGGAAGCATTATGATGAGAACTCATGAGTTGATACAAGTGCTCTAGTCGCTCCTTGCTGAAAGGAAACTGATTTGGATCTGCCACGAATAAACAGTTGTACAGATTGTGGCCACTCTAAAACATTACTCCCATTTAACTTATGAGAAGTGATTTGATATGTTCTGAAGAGGTTCAGAACTGAATTGGGCTGGAGTGGATGAATGGGCGAAATCAGCCTTAGGGATGCTAGGTTTTTTAGATAGTAGCTCTGATACCATAATGGTTGATGTATTTTAGCTGTGAATTGTCTCGTGTATCTGCTTCATTGATTTCATGAACGAATAAGTAGGGTGGTGCATGCGTAACTAACTTTGCATATATTTTGGATCTATAAAACTAGTTGATAAGATTACAGCAAATATTAAGAACTACCTAAAATAAAGTCCAACAATGTTTTCTAGCTTTAACAAAGGATACTTCAATTATGAACATGTTTCAACATCAAATCCTGACCTTTTGACATTAGGTTTTTAAGTGCAGGATATTAGGTGTTCTGAGAATCCAGCAACTGATCCCAGGAGAGGTGGGATTGCAAGATATGTTTTGATTGCTCGTTTGGCCAAAGTTGAAGTATTGAACGGGAGCGAGGTAAATTTAAGAGCATATATATACACAAACCACTCAAAAGTTATCTATATATATTATAAATCATTTGACAAAAACTCTTAAAAACCACTTTTTATACGTAAAGTACTGTTTATTAATGCATATTACTTAAAATTCAAAATTGCAAGTAGATTGTGCGTAAGTACAACTTATTAAAGCTCCATATCTGAATTCGTGTAACTAACTGTAGATAAACATAATCAAATATAGGATAAAGTCTCATTTTAAATATAAAAAATCTAAAATATAATTAGGATAATCATTAAGTTCTAACAGAATAATTATTATTTTTATAAAATGTTATATTATTAAATCAAAAATAAATTATTTCGTTATTAAACTTAAATTAAATTATAATAATTTTTTTTTACAGAAATTACATAAAAAATAAGAACTTTTAAATAGTTGATTTGGTATTAACATTGATATATTTTTTCAAATTTATATTTTATTCAAAAATAAAATCATTATTGCTTTCTTAAAAACATATAAAATCGTATTATAACATCGACATAGACAAATAATAAAATAGAATATTAAAATCGAAATGTGTCTCGCTGCATTGCGTGAGTACTCTTCTAGTTTAACCTAAAGCATTTGTCTTACTGTCATTTATCAGATTACCCCTCGAGAGCGCAAAGACTCTGAGATTCGGTATGTCCTTACTTCATCATTCAATATAGTTGTTCTTTAATGACTTCATACTATACATCTGCATGCATTAAAGTTTTTCAATGTTGAGGGTGTATGTAGCTGAGGAGTGAGGGAGGGAAGAAGAGAATTGATGTGCTGAGATATGATCTCCTTTTCCACACTAGATAGATCACATATAGTATATTTTGTGCAGGTATGTACGCCTGGTAATGTCAAAGCCGCATCAAAATTCGGAAGAGATCAAGAGGCTTCACCCAAGGTATTTTCTAATGTAGCGGGTGTTTGACCCCTTGTTTCGTTGCTAGCTCATGCATGTCCTATAAAGTGGTTATTATTATTATTATGTGGTTTGGAGCTTAGGTACTTGGCAAAAGAAGTTGCAGGTTTACTGTTCGATTGAGGTGGCTTAGCTTAAACTGTGGTCTGATCTGATCTCCAAATGAAATGCGTTTAACTTCCATTCTAGCTTTCTTTGTCTCTTCTCAAAAACTTATCCTAGAAGAGTTTGTTCGACATGTTATTGATTGTTTACCTCTTTGCATTTACGAAACAAAAATTGTGTGTTTAGGAAGATGTGGGAAAAAAATGTTGTATTCTTGTATCTCACATGTAAAAATGTGTACCCTTTTATATAGTATTACGAAACAAGTCTTGGTTGTTTAAGAAGATGTAAGGAAAGAATGTTGTATTTTTGTATCTCACATGTACAAATGGGTACCCTTCTATATACTATTACCCTAACAACCTTTTTCATTCTTAAGAAGAAGAGAGAAAATAAGAAAAAAATACAAATACAAATCCAAAATGAAAATGAAAATGCATATTTACTTCTTTCTACACTCCACCTCAAGTTGAGTTGTATATACTGTACAACCCCAACATGGAATTAAACTCATCAACACTTGATACAGGAAGTGCCTTAGTTAGATTGTCCATCCACGAAGGGATATAACTAAGTTGTATGCCTCTATTGTTCACTTTTAACGGCACAAGTGCCTATCAATCTCCACTTGCTTTCATTTGTCGCGATGAACAGGATTCTTAGCGACACTTTTAGCTGCTCTACTATCACTATACATGTTTATGGATTTAGAACTCGACTCTTTCTTGTTAAGAGTCTTTGGGTCCACATCCTTGACATTTCCCAACAAAAGGGCAAAGTATTTTGCTTCTGCCTCTATTGCTTTGTCGAGTAACTAGGTTTCCCTACACATATGAACAACAGCCATTCATAGATTTTCGACATGTTAGAGCTAACAATACTCATGGTATTGAGTTTCGCGACAAGGGCAAAGGTCTCATAATAATCAATACGATACGATTGAGTAAATCCTTTCCCCACCAACCTCGCTTTTTGAACCTATCAATGCTCCCATCTAACTTTTATATGATAGTGAAAATCCACTTAAAACCCACAACTTGTTTTCCTCGAGGCAATTCCTTGAGAATCAAGTACCATTCTTCTCAAGAGCTCGAGGCAAACTTTGTAATTATGATCCATCTGCATCAGATTATTTAACGTAAAATTGGAGAGAATTGAACCATAAAAGCAGTGTGATGCTAGTTAAACTTGCATTGACTGATTTTGAGACGTGAAGAATTGCCTTCAGCTTTTCTAAACTGTATCTACATGTATGTACTGCTGTGGAGTCTTGTGCTATCTGCCTGAAGTTGTAATTAGCTGTCGATGGTTCAGTAACCACTCAGGTTAATTTAATTTAAGTTCATAAATGGTAATGTATCTTTAAACATGTTCTTTTTATTGCATGATTAAAAAGGAAAAAGAAAATATCATCTTTGATTATGATGACAAAGCATCAGGAACTAGAGCCCAAGGTTTTCAACTGGGACTGACACTGTCCCACCCCACGTGCAAGTCATTTGTTCTGAGACATTTTCAAACCAAAATATCATATTATCATTTTCCGCTAGAGTTTGAAAGAATGGTGATGGGTACTTCTGAAGATGATGGCTGGTTGCATTCAGTTATTGGAATATGTTAATTTTGGTATGATTGAATTGTTTCTTTGCTAACTCCTATAACAAGGTTTTCTAAAAGTGCCTTGGAGTATTACTTTGATCATTTTCTTGTAAGGAGAGGAATTGCTCTTTTAATTTTAGACTCATCCAGAACTGAATTAGATTGCATATATGAAGATTTATTAATGTAAAGTTTGAGTGGTCCTTGATATTGTAGATGAATCCATTGTATATTCTGGTTTGTTGGATTTCTCCATGGATTCTTATTCAAACATATCTGACAGGATTTTTACATCCGATTCAGATGCAACACTTGTTTCAACAAATGTGCATCTTGGATGTGTTTCTTGTGATCATTACTCCATTACTAAGATAGTTGTGTTTCTTGTGATCATTACTCCATTACTAAGACGTGTTTCTTGTGATCATTACTCCATTTCTAAGATAGATGTGTTTCTTGTGATCTTTACTCCATCACTAAGATTGTATGACTTCAATAATATATGAGTTTGTATTTATACTCTTTCTTTTATCCGGGAACAATTATGTATTTGCTACTGTACAATTGAGTACAGAGACCACAGTTCATCTCACTGTCTTTTCCTATTTATATCTTCTGGAACTTGACATCAGATTTTCCGAGCTCAAAGCATTCCATGGAATTGAGGATGAAAGGCCTTCAAATGGTCCAACAGGCCCTCAGAAAATGGCTTCTGGACTCATTGGTATGCATCTTTTTTCTTTCTCTTAACATATTTTATTTTCTTCTTTATTTTTGGCTATAGATCATATGGAAATTGCAACATTTCCTTTTTTTCGTATAAGTTTTATTTCATGATAAAACCAAACCAAAGAAAACCAGTTTATCGGTCTAGGGGTCGGATTTAAAAGTTTCTGTGGTATATTGTTTTCCCTACCGATACAATAAACAGGAGCCCCTTAAATAGGGGAAGAAACCTATGTATATCCTACCACTAAATTAGGAATAGATATGTCTAATAATTACAGATAATTATAAACATTACAAAGTTGTCAAAACTAGTCCCTGTAAATATGTGGGCTAAGACTCCCCCGCAGTTTGAGCGGGCGGTGGACAGACGCTCAAACTGGACCTGAAAGACTGAAACAGTTGTCTGGAGAGGCCTTTTGTAAAGATATCAGCATACTGGAGAGATGAAGGGACATGCAGAACACGAATATGACCAACTTTAACCTTTTCCCGCACGAAGTGGATATCAATCTCAATGTGTTTAGTTCGCTGATGCTGAACTGGATTATCTGATAGATAGACKGCAGACACATTATCACAGTAGACAACGGAGGCCTTTCTCAAAGGAATATGYAGCTCTAGTAATAAATTTCGAATCCAAGTGGCCTCGGCCACAGCATTGGCGACACCCCGATATTCCGCTTCAGCACTAGAACGAGAGACAGTAGGCTGCCGTTTCGATGACCATGATATTARATTATCTCCAAGAAACACGCAGTACCCGCTGGTCGATCTACGAGAATCTGGGCAGCCCCCCCAATCGGCGTCCGAGTATGCAGTCAAAGAGTGATAATTGGACCGGATAATCCGAATCCCATAATCAAGTGTCCCTTGTAAATATCGAAGAATACGCTTCAGGAAAACATAATGCGGATCACGTGGTTCATGCATGAATAAACACACCTGCTGTACCGCATAAGAAATATCTGGTCGGGTGAAAGTTAGATACTGTAAAGCGCCAGCCAAACTCCGATATAAAGTAGGATCCGAAAACAAGTCTCCATCTGTGGTACTCAATTTTSCAGAAAGATCGACAGGTGTRGTGCAAGGTTTACAAGAAGACATCGAGGCCCGAGAGATGATGTCTTTTGCATACTGTGAYTGATCTAAGAATAACCCATGAGAGKTGCGGGTGACCTGAAGCCCCAAAAAATGATGCAATTGCCCCAAGTCTGTCATAGCAAATTCTCGTGAGAGTTTGCTAATAATCTCCTGCAAGAACGTGTCTGAAGAAGCCGTGAGAACTATGTCATCRACATATAATAATAGATATGCTGTGTGAGAACCCTTGCTATAGATGAAAAGAGAATTATCACAAGCACTGGTGTGGAAGCCCTGCGATAAGATATATGTTGCAAACCGAGTGTACCAGGCACGAGGGGCCTGTTTAAGGCCATACAACGACTTGTTCAACCTGCAGACATATGAGGGGTATCGTTTATCAACGAAGCCCGGTGGTTGATGCATAAAGACTGTTTCATTCAAATGTCCGTGAAGAAACGCGTTTTTAACATCAAGCTGATGAATGGGCCACGAACGGGAAACAGCAACTGATAGCACAGTGCGTATGGTAGCCGGTTTAACAACCGGACTAAAAGTCTCATCACAATCAATACCTACGGTTTGAGACTTCCCGTTTACAACTAAYCGAGCCTTATAGCGTTCTAGAGAGCCATCAGATTTAAATTTGTGGCGAAATATCCACATGCAACGAATGACCGGTTTATCAACCGGACGAGGCACCAACTCCCATGTATCATTAACCTGTAACGCACGAAATTCTGTTTGCATAGCATGCAACCAATGAGGGTCGGTAAAGGCTTTGGAGTAGGAGGTGGGTACAGGAGAGATAGTGGTGGAAATAAGCGTGTGTTTGGCTTTCGAGCGAGTGATCATGGGATGATTATTGTTGTCGGTCGGGGCTGATGAGGCAGCCTGGGATGGGACGGGAGGTATAGAGGCTGGTGGAGTTGGTGTGGGTAACGGGGCCGGTGGTCGGGGACGACGGGTATAGGTGAATTGAAGAGGAGAGGTCGAATATGGGGGAGGTTGGGTCGGTTTAGGTGTGGGTCGAGGAATGGACCTGGTGAAAGTGAAACCGTGTGGTAGATCATCAAGGAAATTGTAGTTGGTATTAGGTGTGGGTATGGTGTATGGAAARGTGTTCTCGTCAAAAGTAACGTGACGAGAAATAGTGACTTTGTCCGTGGTAGGATCAAAGCATCGATATCCTCTAAAATCGGGAGGATATCCTAGAAAGATGCAACGGACGRAGCGGGTATGTAACTTATGGGGTTGAGTGGCGGATGAATTTGGGTAGCATGCGCACCCAAAAACACGTAGGTGATCATAGGTTGGGTGGCGGAGATATAGGGCGAAAGTAGGGGTAAAAAAGTTAAGGCRTTTTGTAGGTAGAATATTGTGATGATAGGCGGCTGTATGCAAGGCTTCCACCCAGAAGGTAGGCGGAAGATGGGCATGAATAAGTAAAGCACGAATGATATCATTGAGGCGTCGAATCATACGTTCAGCCCGGCCGTTCTGGGAAGATGTTTGCGGGAAAACAAAAATTAATAAATTAAAAATAACCAAATTTTCCCATTATTATCTCTATAAAGAACTTGATTGTGCCACCAAGATTCCTCTATTTTGGATCCTTGACAAATAATCAGTCTACAGCTCCCCTTAACTATTTTGCTCTTTACAGCTATTACTCTGAAATGTGTTGGACCATCGATTGGTGAAAAGCCTCCGTTAACGAAAAAGCTGCCGGCAACCACCACTGTAACTATTCGTTTTTATTGTTTGATTGTTTCCTCTTTTATCTACCCATAATGTGTTCATTACAATTCCTTTTTGTTAGGTTGGCAAGCTGAAGACCCTTTGCGAGAGCTTCTTCAAATTAAAGTCCATCAAGCCACTATTATATCTTCAAGAAGAGGTTCGTCTTTGACTTCAATAAATTATCAAGTGTTCATGTCACCATTTTATCTTTTGCCGGACATTTATGTCTTCTTCTGATCTTGTTTTATTGATTTAAGTTTCCGTTTTCAGTTCACTTGTTCTAAATTGTTTTAGACTACCACAGTTGCAATTGTAGAACATATTACATATATGTACGTGTGTATGTATATGTATATACATATACGTGTATGAATGTTCATTGTTGGTCTTTTTCTAAAACACTACCCCCTGTTGGAGTGTTAAAAGACAAGCATCAGTTCAAGGGATTTAATTCCCAGTAATTTGCATGTGTTGTCACGGAAACAACCACTCACACTCCACTCGGGTATCATAACCCTCCAGACCCCACTTCCGAGTGGGATACACTATTCCTTGCTTGGTTCGTTTGTGGATAATGTGTTTGCTTGTGGTTTGCAGGGATCCCCGCTGCCTACTTTGCTTGATGACGACATGGCATCTTTGAACGATGCAGGTGTTTGCACCCAATCAACCATTCTGGTTGACGAAGAGAGATAAAAATTGACATTTAGTACAACATTAGGTCTGGCTTATCGGCAACTCAAACCTCCACGGTCCACCATCACATAAGGTTCTAGAAAAAGAATCATCTTGCAGGCTTTTATAGCGGATGAAAGCATATTGTACTCGAGACGGAAAGCATGTTCGTGATATAATGTGCCATCGACATTTTCCTTCACTTATTTTACACTGTTCATCGGACGAAAACAATTTTGTACTGTTTGGGATAGAGATAAAAAGTCCGTATACCTATTATCCTTCCTAGACCTTACTTCATATGGGATTTGTTATGTTGGTTTGGTTCGACTTACTAGGGGAGACGGGGGATTAGCAACCATGTGCTCTCATGGTGTATGCCAATCTTTTTTCGCAGCCTTCTAACGGGTGCGTTGTATGGTTGCTTTCGTTTATTTATGTTGTTTATATATATATATATATATATATATATATATATACAAGATTAGCAAACGTATGCCGGACCCCTAGATATACCCCTCCTAAAATAAGTATCTAGTGTGGAAAAGGCACAACTTTAAAGTGTAGTTATTACCCTTTTTGATCAACAAATTATTCTTGTTAACAGAGAATTTTTTTTCCATTTCATAATTAAGGATATAATGAGGATTTCATAATTAAGGATATAATGAGGAAGTAGATATTTGCTTTATAAAATTGACACTTATTTTAGACAAATAAAATAAAAATATGATAATTTAATAAGTAGGAATATAGAAACACTTGTAAAAAGTAGTCGATATGATGATTTGTACTCTTACATATATGTATATACGAAAATTAATATAAAATTTTTATTTTTAATTTTTAATATCTATTGTAGAAAAAGAACTAAATAATTATTATTTTATTTCAAATATTTATATTCAAACTAAACTAACCAAATTTTGTAGAAACATTATCAATTAAAATTAAAAATAAATAAAAATAAATTATGGATTTGATATGTATGGTAGGGTTCTTGAACTATCTTTTTTTTTTCTTAAAATATCAAAAGAACTTAAAAAAATACAGTTATTTCAAAAATAGCCTCCAGTTCACTTATTTCATGAAATGAGAAAAGACCCACAAAAATCCACATGGGCTTCACATATCTGACCGAAGAGACACAAACGAACGAGTAGCTAATGTAGAATTGCGTCGGTGAGGCCGATTCATGAGGCCTGACACAAAAGGGCCAATCCATAGGTGCATATGCTTGGATCGAAGGTTTTGAAAAGACAATACTGAAGTTATGAATTGACCGTTTTATTGAATCCCAATGCATTGATTTGACTGATCATTACCTTTTCTTAACCTATTTTTGTTTTATTAATACTAGTGTTTGACATCGCGCATTGCGCGATGACAATATAATTTTTAAAAATTTATTGAAGTTAAAATCTGAAAAATGATCTTATTGAATAATAAAGTTTATAAAATGAAAGAACAAATCAATTGATGAATAGATAAAATAAAAGATTACTTGAAAAAATAAATTGTTGAAGAAAAAAGGTTTGAAAAATGAATAATACATCAAGTGATAGAAATGAAGAATAATACCTAGATTAGTATTATGGTAGTAAACCTGAATTTTTCATCTCTATATTTAAAACATTAAATTCATTAGGATAACGTTGTTTTGTTAATTTTAAAAAGTTTAACCTTCAACCATTTTATTTTCATTCTTGGATAAAACAACCTTATCCTAATGAATTTCCTATTTTAAATATAAGGATGAAAAAGTCTTTTACATATATCAAATATTTTAAAAAATAAAAAATCTAAGAAAAAAAATATGGGTTTCTATGTTTAGAGGATAATACCTCATTATGTTTGGTTTCTTCTTTAACAATTAAAAATATTAGAAAATAATTTTCAAGCTCGATTTTAAAGAAGAAAAAAATCACAATAGACCGATCAACATCAACTAATATTTGTTTTCTTGAATGATGCCCCAAATCAACAAAAAAATAAATCACATCCACAAAAATGGAATAAAGAAGAAGAATTGAGATTAAGAGAGATTATTATGCTAAACAATGTTACTTTATTTTTCAAAGATTCATATGTCACTTTATCCATACAAAAAAAATCATATGCTTACATAATTCTAACTTTAGTATGAATTCTCTAACTAAATGACGAAATATTATACTTACATAAGCAAAAACTCATACCATGATTTGTTTTCTTGAATGACACCTCAAATCAACAAAAATGCAAATCGCCTCCACAAAATTATAACTGAATAGTGTGGAAGAATTGATAGATTAATAGAGAGATTCATATGCTTGATAATTTCAATTTTAGTGTGATATGTCTCCAATTAAAAGACGAAAATAATATACTTACATTAACAAAAACCCATATCATATTTCTCTTCTTAAATTACACTTCAAATAAACAAAAATGTAAATCACCTCCAAAAAAACTGAATAGAGAAGAAGAATTGAGAGATTTTTAAAAGAGATATTATGCTTAAACAATGTTAAATTGTTTCTTCAATGATTCATATGCCACTTTAATCCACACAAAAAAAAAATCCATATGCCTACATAATTCCAACTATAATGTGAATGTCTAGGACTTAAAAAAAATACTATACTTACATAAGCAAAAACTCATACTATGATTTGTCTTATTGAATGACACCTCAAATAAACAAAAATACAAATCGCAACCACAAATTTATAACTGAATAAAGAGAAAAAATTTGAGAGATTATCATAGAGGTATACCACAAAATTATACATGAACAAAGAAGAAGAATTGAGAGACTATCATAGAGATGTACCACAAAATTATACATGAATAGAGATGAAGAATTGAAAGACTAACATAGAGGTGCACCACAAAATTATACATGAATAAGGAGGATGAATTGAGAAATTAATAGAGAGATTATTATATAGGTGTACCATGAAGAGAAGATGAGAATTTATAACCAAATAGAAAGAAATAATGAGA